TGATTAAATTTAATTTATTTAAAAAATTATTAGATTATTGTACTGGGGTTGCACTGTGACATTTAAATAAGTTCTTACAATATATCACAACTGAATTATCCTATCATTCTCCTTTATTCCCCCCATCCCCATTCCTGGAATAGTTTCAATAGGTCTCATTTCTCCATTTTCATACACGTGTACAAAGTATTTGTACCATATTCACCCTCCTATACCCTTTCTTTTTATCCTCCCCACCCCCCAACTGGTAACAATTCCCCAGACAGGACCTGTTTTCCTGTTTTACCTTCCCGTTCTGTTTTTGAAAAAAAGGCATTTTTGTTTGTTAAATAGTTATATAGGGAGTTTCCTTGTGACTTTTCCAGGTATATATGTATTATAACTCAAGTTGGTTCATGCCGTCTATTTTTCTCCTTTCTAGCTTATTCCTCTTCTTATGGTGATTTCAACAGGCTTAAAAATTCTATATTCATTTTTGTATAGAAAGTACATCACTCATATTCACCTGCTTAACTTCCTGTCTGTCTCTTGGTAGTGACCTTCCCTTAGCATGACCAATTTTTTATAATATTGTCTATCCTTGTATTGATGAGGTTAAATTTATTAACCAAAAATTGTATTTTAGAATTTCATTAATTTTAAAATATTTTTCATTGATCTCAATCTACTGTTCTCTTTTTAATTATAACACTGCTTATAATTTTATGTACTTATTTATTTAATGGGACCAGGGTTTGAACTCAGTCCTTCGTGCTTGCAAAACAGGTGTTCTACTGCATGATCCATACCTCAGATCAAACTGTTTATAATTTTAAATAAGCACAATAGCTCTCTTATAAAATATTTTTATATTCTGAAATTTAGGTATAGGATTTTTTAATCATAAATAGTCAAACCTATTCATAAAGACTTTTTAAAAACATATCAATTACTTAATTCAAGAAACATTTGTCTGGCATGGATTGTAATCCTGCTATGTTGAAGCAAAGGTAGGAGGATTTATTTTTGTTTGAGGTCAATCCTGGCAAAGCAAAAGTTAAGACTATCTCAAAAAAAAAAAAAAAGAAAAGAAAAAAGAGAGAGGGATTGAATTCAAATATGATATATTTCATACATTATAAGAAATTGTGAATGCCACAATGTACCTCCACCTGGCACAATAATTAAAATGTATATGATATGTACAGTCTCATTTGCATATATATAATAAAACACATATCACCTTAGGAAAGAAGGATCTGCACATGGTGAAGCAGGCCTGAACCCCAGCTAAGTGGAAGGTTCAGGGAGGAGAACTATAGTCTGACATGGTCTGAGGCCAGCCCTGGGCAAAAGTGAGTCCCTTTATGAAAACGCACTAAAGCAAAAAGGTGACTCCAGTGTAGAGTGCTTTCCTAGCACGTGCAAGACCTTGGCTTCAAATGGCAGCACTGCTCATGTTTGCTTGTCCACCTCTATACACCTAATGAGATATGCCTATTCACTAGTGAGGGAAATTTACAGGGTGTCATCAGCTGGACAGTATTCAGATTTATACATAGGGGGAACAGTTTGTAGGCATAAGAAGTTACATATTAGAGTTGAAAAAACAATGAGAATGTGAAATAAGTTCAAAAAATTTTTTGCTTCTAAATGCTGTGATAAAATATGAATTTTGGATGTCATCTTCTCAGTGGTAGACCTGTTCAAAACTTGTAATTGATTTTAGTCTTGGTGATGTGGGTTTTGAAGAATTGATTTACTTCACACCCTGTAGGATATATTTTAAATACGAAGATTGAGATTGAGAAAACTTGTTAGTAGATATTGTAAAGTAGATTTTGTACATTTTTTATCATGAAATGACAATCATTTAAAATCTGTAGCACATTGAAAGAAGAGAAAGAATGCAGCTGAGAGCTGTGAAGAAAACCCCAAGCAATAGTACATATTGACTGACCATGTCAAAGTTCAACTTGGTTTAGTGGAACTCTCAAAGGTGTTCTATAATTTGAGTCAGGCTACTGTTTAAGTTTTAGCTTTTTGTTAGTACTGTGGCTGAACTCAGACTCTCCCATTTGCTGGTCAGGCACTCTACAACAACTTAAGCCACAACCATTTGAACCATAACCCCTAAGCCCTTTTTTGCCAGTTATTGTTTTCAACCTGGGAGGGTTTCATTGAACCTGATCCTCCTACCTATGCCTCTGACATAGCTGGGATCCAAGAATGCACCACTATGCCTGCCTTATTGATTCAGATGGGATCTTGCTAAATTTTCCCCAGACTGGCCTTGAATCGTGACCTCTATCTCCTGAGTACCTGAAAAACAGGTGTGAGTCACTGGGCCTGGGCAGCAATTGTCATTGTTTGAAATGGTTCTGTCAAATAGTCTTTATTTTATACTTAAAATAAAGTTTTTATTTATAATTAAAATATATTTAACTATATTTTGTGCTATGTTACTATTAAATCATATATTTACTAATGATTCTTCAGGAATTTTATTACTAAGCAAATGAAAATACAATAAGGCAAACAAAATTGCATGGAGCTCCAGTTACAAGTTTTAGAGATATAATGTCTACTTTCTCCTTCACCAAATATTGGTGCTTTGACTTTTAACATTATTGATAAGCTTATTGGTAAACTGAAGTGATTACAAATAGAGAGTATAATTTCTAGCCATCTTAAAATGAAAAAAGAAAAAGATGTGCTGAGAATGACTGTTGCTTCAATAAATATTAACACTTGTAGGAAAGAGCAGAAAACCAGTTACACATACTCTCCTTGCCCTTAGGAATATGGTAGGGTTCTGGAGGAAACCATCTAGCACATTCTATTGTAGATACAGACAAACACCATTTTGGTAAATGTTCCATTACTTACAATGCTATCGGTTTGAGTGTCAGTGAAGTCGGCACTTTGGGATAGAAGACTATTTTATGCATCAGGTAACTTCTAAACTCCAATTAGAGTATTAGATGACATATTTTAATAGAGTTTAGATCTATCATATTATATGACTTCATGTGCTACAGAACTCTTCACTATCAATACACTCAAGGGAAATATTGCTTCATCATTAATGTTATTTCTAAAGCACATTTTCATTAACCCTTCAATCTTTTTAATAACAAGACAAAAAAGTAAACAGACTGCTGACACCACATTGTAGATGAAAGCATAAGTGTAAATGCAAGAGTACTTAGAATGTGATCTCATGTAAGAGAAGTGGAACTCAATCCTTTTGGTCTCCAAGCCACTTTATAACATATAGTTATAAACATATAGCTATAGTAGACATTATATCTCTAAAACTTGTAAGTAACTGGAGCTCCATGCAATTTTGTTTGCCTTATTGTATTTTCATTTGCTTAATAATAAAATTCCTGAAGAATCATTAGTAAATATATGATTTAATAGTAACATAGCACAAAATATAGTTAAATATATTTTAATTATAAATAATTCCTTGAAAACAAATACACACCTATTAGAAAATTTCAAGAAACCATACAAAATTTTAAAATAGAAATAATGTTCTAAAAGTAAAATAAGTGAATTTATTATTTAAAATATGCATTTCCATGCATAAATATGGGAGCATGACAGCATAGAATAGGTAGTGATTATCAGATGTTTACATTAATGTACAAATTACAGATTCATTCAAAGCATTTGTTGAGCATTGAGGATGAGAAGATTCTGTTCTAGACACTGTGAGTACAACAGTAAAGAAGAAAAGGAAAATCGCGTTCCTCTAAAAAATTGTAGCATGGTGACAGAATATATACATGGCAAATAAATAAAACATGTTGTATATTGGGATATATATATATGAAATGTCAGGGGAGATTCAAAGCAAGGCCTGGAATAAGCAGGGGACTTGTCTTCAGGAAGTGTTCCAGACAGAACAAGCAGAAAGTCCATCTTAAACGAAGGAGTAGATAAAGAGTGAGGCCAATTTGAAGTGAGATGGGCCCTGTGGCTGGAGAGGTCAGTTTAGGAGGGTGCTCTGGGGGACTGAAGTGAAACAGGTGAAACAGGTCAAAGAGGTGAAGGTAATCATGACATCTAGTACAGTATTTTCAATAGACTTGGGATTTCACTCAAGTATGATAAGAAGCTGGTGAAGTGATCTGTGCAGATAAGTGATGTGATCTAACTTATATTTTAATGAGATTATGCTGGAGGTTTTGTTGAGAAAATACTGTTGGGTTGGAGTTGTGTACCTATGGCCATCAATCTGGGGCATCGTGGAGCAAAAGACCAAGATGAAAGCAATGGGGTTGACCAGACTGTGAATATGATTTAATTCACTGTAGTAGTGACTTTTTTTTTCTGCTTTTGGAAACCATTGGTTTTCTATAGAAGGCCTTCTTGATATTTATTTTGTTCTGGCTTTGCCTTTTCATTTACCTCTGAATTGGACTACATTTGAAGAAACTGTGCCACTGTTTACTAACCATTTGAATATCATTGCATTTCACAAGCAATATGTTATTCCTGTAGTTTATTTAAATTGTTCTTTTGTTTGAAAGGCTTTACCTTATGTCCAATTACTCTTGAAAAGTTGATATGCAAAATGACATTTTTCTCTGCTCTATATAGGAACTATAATTACTGAAAACTGTTGAAATGCCAAAAGAAAAAAGAAAGCATAAACATGACCCTTCTTAACAGTTTGTTTGAAAGAAATTCTTCACAATTATCTTTTCTTAGTTGTAGACATTTTACTAAGTAATCTCCCAAACTAGCCATAATTTGTGAAAAAGAGAGAAAGCAAACATTTGATTTCTATTATTAATATACCATTGTCATTTTGAATTGCAAGTGAATAGAAACAGTCATAATGTTTCAACTGACTATTTTTATTTATTTGTTTGTTTGAAGCTTTTGGAAACATGCACAAAACATTGATGAAATGTTGGAAGCCAGTTGAAATACAGTGAACTCTAATCCAGTAAAACAGGACTGCTTTCTTTTCTTCCACATTGGGATTTGTCAAGAAGTGAACTATGACAATATATCAGTTTTTGAGACTGTTTCTACTCTGGGTGTGCCTGCCACATTCATATTCTCCAGAGATAATGTTCAGAAGGACTCCGGTGCCTCAGCAAAGGATTTTAGGTACACGAGTACCAAGGAGTGATAGCAAAATCCTGCATCGTCAGAAACGTGGTTGGATGTGGAATCAATTTTTCTTGCTGGAGGAATATACAGGATCTGATTATCAATACGTAGGCAAGGTAAGGCCATACTGAAATGGCACATATTTACATTCTTACTTTATATGGCTTTCTAAGGAATATGGATGGTCTTCAGGATGGCATTCTTATAAATTTGATTCTCAAAATGCTTTTATTTATATCATAAATATTCTAATTTGAAAAACTATGAATGGACATAAAATAGTAAATGTAGAAATTCATTTGGTTAGAATTAATTCTGCCCAATAACTTACGGACTATGAAGCTACTAAAACTACAGCTTTGGAATTTATACTGCATGTTAGTATGGTCATTTAAATTATTAAATATATATGACCATGTATGCTATTGTCATTATTTTCAGTGAGAAGAGAAAAATATATATATGATGTTTAATCTCCTATAGAATGAGAAAGCAAATATCATTAAAAATATGTCCTAAGGGTAAAACTTATTTGTAAACAAACATATTCCAGCTGCTTGTATTCTTTTCTTGAGTCAAAACATGGTTGCACTGTATAAAGGAACAACATATAAGAAGACTAGCAGGTAAAAATAATTCACTTATTGGAATATGAAGTATGAGGCGGACAGAAAAAACTCTTCTATTAAAAGTGTGCTAAGTTTTCATTTTCTAAGATGAAAATATTTTTGAGGGAATACATTTTCATTGATTTTGAAATAATTTTGTATGTCTTATTCCAATTATTTCACTCCTTTGTAAATATTTGGTAACACAGGAAAGATGCCATAATGGTAAATTTTATGTAGAGTAGAAGAAAAAGGAAAAGAAACAGTTATCTGAGCAATCGTAGCAGAAAGCAAGAAGGCACAGACTTTTCATTAGTCTCATTGATTGAATGCAGGAGAACAGTGTGTCAAGGAAAATTTTATGATTGTAGCAATAGTATAATAATAAAAAGTATAATAATAGAAATCTGGGCCATAGAAACTATAAATTGTTTTGTGTAGATTTCCCTAGACATAAAATTTATTTGTCTTTTTTCATCTATTTCCCTTTATCTAGTCCTTAACAAGGATGTAATAAGTGTTGGTAAGTTGAGTTAACATTACATCATACACTTTCTTCTGATAGGATACTATTTCTTTTCCTTTTGTTTTTTACCTCTCCCACAGAATATCAATACCTCCAAACCAAGCACTATGCTTCTTATCTGTTTGTCTATAGCTGTTACAATTCAATAACTATTTAGCTGATTGAACTACCTTTAGTCACAGTGAATTGAATTCTCTCAGCCATCTGGTTCCATTTGGCTATTTGACTATGTAGACTGCTCTGGAATTATAAATCATTTTGGACAATTAAAGTTAGTAACTACTTACGGTATATTTATATATACAGTATATATATATATATATATATATATATGTATATACGCATACATATATATATATATATATATATATATTCATATGGAGGCCAAGTTTATTCTCCTTCTTGTATGTAAAAGCAAATAAGAAACCTTTTGAATGTGAGTTTTACGGACTGTTCATTCCCACACGGTACATGCTGAGCCACCAGATCAAAAGACATTTAGTATGTTGTAACTCTCAAAGTGTCCAATGACCAAGTGTCTATTGTATTAATTCCATTGTAGAGCTTCTGGGGTTTGTTCATGTCATGATTTATGAAATATGTACTTGAATATTTTTGTCTATAGTATAGTATTGCATTTATTATTTATTATTTATATTGCCCTTATTATACAATTTAAATTCTTATTTTCAGTATGAATATACACATTTGTATATGCCAAGAGACAAAATTAAACATGCAGTATTTTAATAAGTATGCATTTTAATAAATATTAGTTGAAACTAAGATATAGTTTCTTTATAAAATATAAAGCCCCTAAAATCCCCTGAGTATTCTAACATTATTTGTAATGAATTGGTTACATAGTCATCTTTTCTTTCAGACATTTCTTCTCCACTTTTTACTTATTATAAGATTGTCAAATGATATTGATGCCACGTGTTTCACACCTCTACGTTGATTCAGATGTAGGTGTAATATATGCTGTAGTTACTAGCATATGGGAAGATGTGGACAGACATCCCCCTGTAGTGGGAATGTTTAGGGAGCTCAGAATAAAAGGCAACAGAATGAATTACAATCCAGTGAGCAATGGGAGGTACACTAGAGTAGAAAATACGTGTATGGTGAGGCAGAAAAAAAAAATTAGCCAAAAAAAATCTAGAAATAATGGCTGCATATAATTTCTTATATTAAAAACATTATACTTATAAGGTCAAAGTTGAGGACAGTTTTCAATTGGCTACAGAAAGCCTGTGGTTGTAACATTGTATTTGCCACTATTTCTCTTTCAGTAATTAACTACTGTCTCCTGGCCTTATTTTATCATCTATCCAATTAAAGTAGATTATGTCAGTGAATATAGACATATATCTACTCTTTAATTACCCTATTTATATTATTAATGTAAAGTGTATTTTTAAACCCATTGATAAAAGAACAGAAGAAATAAATAGAGGATGGGAAAGAATGAGAGAGAGATCAATGGGTAAATTGTACATGCCATGAAATGAAGGCAACATAGGAATTGAAAACATTTCTCTGCTCAGCTTCCAGTGATCAAAAAGGATGTTTCTCTAAGTCATTCAAATAAATTATAATCCCAAATACATCCAGGAAAACTGTTTCTTGCCATTCTATCTCAATTCTATACCTTGGTACTTTATTTGCTTACAGACCCTGAATGACAGATCAGCAAAACATATCCTACAGTAGTTAATGACTGTAAGTAGTATTTTTCTAACTGATGACATTTTTCTGTGCCTGGAGACATTTTTGGTTCTTTTACAATTTGGTGTGCATGGAGGCTGTGTTCCTTCCATCTGGTAAATACTGGCCAGGAATTCTTCTGAGCATTCCATGAAGCACACATGGACACACATGAGCTTTTCCGTTGTCAATGTCAATAGTACTAAGATTGAGAAAGCCTTTCCCAGAGTTTTTAACCCATTCCTAAACAGAGTAATCATAATTTTACTTCTTCCTGAGTTCTTGCATCTGAAACTTCTCTCAAATGTAATTATGTTTCTTTCCTTCAGAGTGGTCATTAGTGTATGCTTTCCCAGCTTAGGCTTCTATCAAGACCTATTAAAAAGAGGTTTTCTTTCTTTTTCTTTATTTTGTTTTCTTTTCTCCTTTTATTTTATCATTTTTACATTTAATTACATGTGTATACATTGTTTGTGTTACCTTCTCCCTCCCCACCCCTGCAGGCCGAACCCGTTCCACCCTCTTGTTCTCCGATTTTGTTGAAGAGAAAGCCTAAGAGATAAGAGAGACATACTGTTTTTGTTAGTTTGGGATAACAATAGCTATACAGAAAGATTCCTAGTGTTGCTTCCAAACTTGTGTATTACAACCCACATTGGTTCCAGACCTCTTCACTATTTGCTGGTCTCCTTCGCATAGTGGCCACCACCAATTTAAAATGACTTTATTCACTCCTCAACAGAGAGCACATCAACCACATTTAAGTTTTAGGTTTCCTTTCCTTTCCTTATTTCTCCCATGTGTATTCTCCCCTTAGTGTGTGACCTATGTCCAAGAGATACTACTAAAAGGAGGCTTTCTTAAGGGTATCATTGGCTCAGCCTTGCAGTAATCTTTCTCTGTAAACTTGTGGTCTCCAAACACCACTATGAACTTAATCATTGAATGTTTCAATAAATACCTATCTAGAGGACCTTGTAGGTACCACTTGACATTAAGCATACAGTGGTGAAAATAATATTTGTATGTTCACAAACCGCCTGACTTTGAATGATGGAGAAAATAGTGAATAAAGGTAATAGGAAGTTATGAGGTTGTTTTTTTTCTCAGACACAGCCAAGACCCACAAAGCTAGGAACAGAATAGGTAACAAATATTGTTATGTTCCATTTCTACAGTAATTGAAAATAAAGTGAAAATTAAAAGCTTTAGAATACGTTTTACATGAATTAACGTTACTAATTAAATGTTAAGACTAAACAAAGAACGTGCTTTCATTTTTTTCCTTGTCTGTTTATTTTTGGAAGTGTTTTTTTCTATGGGAAATCCCTGATAACAAATGATCTCTAAGATTTTCTACAGAAAGGACCTCCCAGTTTTTAAGGGCACTCTGAAGGACTAACTCAAATTCAAATACTCATAAAGCTCAGAGATACCAACTGTGCCCACTACATCACACTGTGTATCTTTTGGTCCTAATTATATGGACACAAGTTCAACATGGCTACAGCTGTGAACAGCATGGTTGGAACTGAGACAGAGAGAAGAGACTGTCCTATTTTTCATCATTGCAATTTTCCTAGAGTGAAACAGATCTAAAATGAGCTCCTGGACAAACATTATATTATGCCAGAGCTCAGAGAGTGGAAAATACTTCCTTGGACATTTGAGTTACTGAAATAAGACTATTTGGGGGAATTAATAATCTCTGGGTGACTTTTGGTTCCATATGACTGAAAAGACCTATGCAAAAAAACAAAAAATTAATTTGCTCAGAAAATATAGACCTTTGCTGGTAAGACAGAGGTGGGAATGTTTGGGTACAGTTGAGCCCTACTGATAGCAGTCACAAAACAGATGGGAAAAAAAAAACAGTGCCATATGCAGTAGGTAATTTAAGTAACAAAGAGCAGTGTAATGAAATAAATCAGGGTGATGTAATAGACAATGGTAGAGACTCCTTTAGATTAAATGACTAAAAATACCTTCCTGATTGTGCTGTAAGGAAGGTTTTGTAAACCCTGGAGCAAGGTTCTGCCTGCCTGAGGCCACTGCTGTGTGGAGTCTCCCAGATGAAGCCACCATCTCCATGTCTGACCAGGAGGCATAACCTTCAACTGAGGAGTTGGGGAATAAGAAAGAAAGAGAATATATGAAACTCAAAGTCATTGGATAGATTATCGGTGGGATTCACTTCAAAAGTGAAAATGACAGTGCATCTTAAGAAACTCAAAGAATCATACTGTCAATAATATGGAGTTCCAATGCATTC